GTTTAAGTCAATGTGTTGAAGATTTAAAGCCAAACAAACTCTTGTCTTCCTGGCTAACTAAATGCCCAAACACTGAAAATTTATTAATTGGGGTAAGCATGTGATGGGCTCCACAGTTACAGGGCCTCCTCAGTAGTCAGCACGTCTGCCCTTGCCTCTTGTTAGGAGATGATATGAACCCCCACTAACAATGGGAATGATGGCTACATAGCCATTGATGTAGTCTATTGATGATTTACTTTGATGGAAGACTCTGGGTAGGGAATCTTCTATAGTAATGAGGTTTAGAGACAATAAATGACCTGTCAGCAGAACTGCGACTTAGCGCTAGTTTCTGTGCCCTAGACATTGCCCCTACTTCTTCCTGATCAGCTCCATGTTGTTGTGCTTTTCATCATGTCTCACTGCCTCTCATGAACAAAAGATTCTGAGATTGTTCCAGAAGTGGAACACAGCTCAAAGTTCCCCTCTTCCACATGGCTTCTGAAAGGTCAGGTGCCCAATCTGATGGGCCCTTTGGTAAGCTGCTTATATAGCACTCTGTTGTCTTTGTGTTTGTTCTTTTGTGTGGTTTGTGTTTATGATTATTGTTTCCGGCAGTTTAGAGTACATATGAGGGCTTAATCTCAGATGAACTATGGCTAGCTACTTGATTGAGTAAGAAAAATGGTAAGAGTGTGTGGTGGGAGGCTGACGTCAATAAATTGAATAAGTCTTCCTTTTTATTTATTGTTTTGTTCTTCCAGACCTGCCTAGTTATGTTAAATACGCCTGACCTTTTCCCTTGCTTGACTTTCAGGGCTTCATGCTTATAAAGGTTTCCAATGCGATTAGCATTGATGCTTCTGAGATTGCATGGAAACTAGATGGTCAGAGATAAATTGTGGGTCTCAGCAGTGGTCAGCTCAGGAGGCTTCAACATCTGCCTGTTGCCTGGATTGGAGATGTTGCTAGGGCCATATGGCAGAGAGCCTCACAGAGGAGCCAGAAGTGACTTTCTGGCTTGGTATCAGATTATATATTTTAAACTAGAAGTTGTAGTGGTTTGGGCTTGATTTATTATATACTAATGGATTAATTCTTAACAAAATGGCACAAGGGTGTGTGCATGTGTGTGTCTAGAATTCAGTTTCCGTAATGTTATCAGTATTCCATTGAAGGAGAGGCTTTACTAAACTATGTTTCTCTTTATAAGTATGGAAAGGAAATCACCACAGTTAATATGTATCTGACCTTTGATTGACTTCTTCCCTTGAAAATGCAAACTGGCTGGGCGTGGTGGCGTACGCCTGTAATTCCAGCCCTTGGGAGGCTGAGACAGGAGAATCACTGTGAGTTGGAGATGAGCCTGGGTTACATAGTGAGTTCCAGGTCAGTGTCAACTACATAGTGAGACCCTGTCTCAAAAAAAAAGCAAAAAAGAAAACAAAAGAAAATGCAAACTGTTTTGTTTAGAACAAAGTGAGGTGGTATGATTGGCTCTTTCTGTTTCCTTGTTTAAATAATCTCTAAGTATTATTTAGTGAACTGCCAGACTGTCTTCCCTACATGCACAGGAGTTATTAATGTCCTGATTTGTGTTCCTATTTACATACATGCTGCTGACTCAAAAAATGTCTCTAAACATACATACTCAAGACTTGGAAACCCTGAATTAAAAGATCAACGTTGGGAATTTTTAAAAAATTAGATGTTGGTTGATTATATATGAGAGGGTATCTCTCTAAATGTCTATCTGTCATACCCTCCCTTGTCACCACACCAGTTCATTTGGCCTCTCTACCTTCCCTCTACCATCTTTCTGTTCTCCCCGCTCCATGAGCTTCACTGAGGTCCCTTTGTCCCATCCCCATCTCTCAGATTGTACGTACATCACTCCTGTGCTATCATTCATGCTTATTACCTGTGTATTTCTGTTATTTTCATTTGTTGCCATAGCAGGAGTTCCCTTTTTATTTGTGTGACTATGCATAGCATTTTAAAATGTCCTAAAAGCCAAGCTGAGATAGTCACAAAACTTAAACCTGCTTCAACTCTTCTGACTTTATCTCCACTCCACACCCACACCCTCTTCCTGGCACTGTCATGGAGATGGTTACACAGTGATTTGAAATTAGACTTGGAACAATGAATAAATGTAATATTGTGAGGTTATTCTTGATTTGTGCCTTCAAGATTCGGACCTGTAAAATAGACAGTGGTTCTCATTTGTAGTAATAACAACAGCTATGTAATCTTCCAGGAAACTCCTTATCACCAGAATAGTAAGTCTGCACTCCCAAGAGGCTCCTAAGGTTAATAATTTGACATCATGATTATGAAATATGTGGACATTTATGTGACTTTATAAATAGATGATCACATATAGAAAGAAGCTAGGAACATACTTTTGCTTTTTGTGTTTTAGGAAATTATTCCTTAAGGGCAACAGCCATTTTCTCCATTCTGCAGCAATTCTTTTGAAGAACTTTTCCCCTTAGTGGAATTGTACAGTACATCAGTCTGTCTCTAGAAGGAGGTAGTAGTTGGTTGTTATAATCATACTGCTTCTCTCTACTAAGTAGGAATCCTGGAGAGGGCCTTGCAGTGAGGCCCAAAGTATCATTTAGTAAATCATATTTATTGATATACCATGTTTAATTAAACTGCCAAGCAGGTTTTTCATTTTCACTCTCATTTTGATTTAAACGTGCTCTGTTCTGGTTGACATATTGCAAAAGAAATCAAGCTGAAACCTGTACTCTAAAAGAACCTGGGTTTTGTTGTTGTTGTTGTTGTTGTTGTTGTTGTTGTTGTTGTTGTTGTTTTAAGCTGGCAGTTGGATTTTAATAGTGTATGTATTAAATATTTTAGATAAATTATTCGAGTAAAAATTATCACACAAGCATTCTTAAACTATGTAAAACAGATTTTAAATTAAGTTTAAATACTACTCAACATTAGTGGTTTTGGGGGGAAATAAGTACTCATAAATTGCTTTTCTAGAAGTTGACCTTGAATACAGGCTTCAAATCATTGTAAACAGGATCATTTGAAATCTGCATTTCCTTTCCTTTTCCTAATTCATTTCAGTTGCTCAATAGGATTTTCTCATGAAATTAACTTTTTCCACTCTGCGTAGTTACATAAGCTTGATCTTCTAGTCATGAAAAATGTTACCCATTTCAGCACTTATTAAGGTGGACTTCCACTTGAAGGGTTTCTGGATTTGAAAGTCAGAGTATGTGACTAGAGGCAGAGAATCTTCATCATTTATAGTCACTGAATCGTCCTATGATTTTTAAATGACTTTGGAAAGTATGATCTGACACCCCTAGAGCAGACTTCTGTAGGAGTAATCTTTTAGTGAACTACTTATTCAGGTCGTATGCTTTTAAAAGCCCTGCTTTTATTTCCTCGGGATAAATTGAATTATGTGTTACCAATAACAATACCACGTCATTTCAAAGAAAACTAAATTAAGTCGTGCACATCCAGGTTGCTGGAAACTGGGTAACATAGGATAGGCATTGTTTTGTTACCAAGCAAAGGGTCTGCCATAATAAAATGCTATAGGCTGGTCATCTTACACAACAGAAACTAGCTTTTTCACTAATCTGGAGAATAGACATCCCAGATCAAGGTGCTGGCTGTTTCAGGTCCAGATGAGGATGTTTTTCGCATCTTGACTACTACCTTTTCTCCTTGCTGTTTCTTCACCTGGTACAAAGTGCTGTGATATCTCCATGAGGACCCAGTCCTATAGGATTAGGGCTCTTCTGTTATGGTCCCATTTAACCTTTACCATCCCCTCACAGGCCTTATCTCCAAATGCAGCCACTTTGGGGAGTCCAGCTTCAGTGTATGAGATTTGATTAAAAATTATGGTGAATGTTTAAATTTTTTTAATGTATTACACTAAAAGATGCATTGCTTTTAATTTTCCTCAAAGTACCCTACCCCTAACCTCAAACACATCCCGTCATTGCCACTTTCTGAAGTAGTTCTGGAAGTCCTCTTTTGTGAGAGTCTTTGGTTATGTGTAGCGGCAAGTTTTTGGTTTTGTGTGATGCCTGAAGATCCTGAGCTAATTCAAAATGTTTATCTTTCTTGGTCAGTTTTGCTTTGGGGGAAACCAGAGGTCTCACCATGTCAAATATGATGAATTAAGGTGAATGAGGACACACTGTAATTTACGAAACTGCCTTCTCATTGGATAGCATTTACCAGCAGCATTCATCAACTTTCTTAGCATACCTCAATAAAGACACTTAGGAAGGAAGACTTCCAGACTTGCTTCAGAAAGTGGCAAGAATGATGGGATAAGTGTGTGCAAAACGCGGGGTATTTTGAAGGGGACTAATGGCAGTATGTCTTTTATTGTAATAACATGGTTTGTTTTTTTGTTTTGGGGTTTTTTTGTTTGTTTGTTTTTGGGTACTGGGGATCGAACTCGGGTCCTTGCACTTGCAAGGCAGGTGGCAGAACCACTGAGCTAAATCCCCAGCCCACACGATTTTATTTTAACATTCATCATATATTTTGATCACACCTCATGTGACTATGCGGAGGGCACAGGTGCTCAGTCCCCACCATCTTGTCACAAATGCCTATCCCTCTCCCCAGTCACAGTCCCTCACTTCATTGGCAAACACTCAAATGCGGATTTTTTTCACATTCCATTTTTCTTTACTTAAGTAACAACCTGGTGGTGTGGTTAAGTAGTTTTCGCCACAAGGAAGTGGCTATAGATTAACCAGCTGGCCCTGAGTGACCTTGTGGGCCTACACAGGGAAGATGAGGTTGGAGAAGTGGCTGGGTGGAGAGTGCTGTCTGACTTGAGCAGCTTCAGAGGAGCCTAGCTTCAGGTCCCAGGCTCCCCGACACGCTCTGTCCAAAGCAGTCTTCCACTTCTCTGTTCAGGGAAAGTCCTCTTATTACATGGCAGCAATGTAGATTTAGTGTTTTGTGAATCTTTAGGGCATTTTAATTCATCCTCTATCCTCTTTGATCTCTTTCAGATTGTTTGAAGGACGTTCATCAAGGAAACCAGAAAAGCTTAAAACACTCTTCTGCTACTTTCGAAGAGTCACAGAGAAAAGTAAATTTTTTAAATTTGTTTCGTTATTTTCCTTGCTGACAAGAATAGTTCAGGTATCATGGGAGGAACATTCTGTGTTTAAAGTACAACTTTTGTCCAAACTATATTTAAATAACAATGTTATAACCTAAATTTTATCTATATATTATGTATTTACATAAATATGTATTATGAATGTGTGTGGGTTTTTTGAACGCCAAAATCAAACCCATCTACTTTGAAATATGCAGTATACATCAGAGGCTTTTTATGAGTAAAGCCAGTAAATCTATGCTTTTAAAAGAAAATGTATAGACCAGAGTATACATTTTGAATGCTCTTTATTTAAAGAAAGAATAACTAGATGTTCATTATTATCAACATGCAATGTACTGGTCAGATTTCCCAGTGCTAAGACATAGTACCTTACACCTACAACTTAAAGGTGGAGAGGCTTCATTTGGCTTGTGGTTTCAGGGAATTCAGTCCATGGCCAACCATCTTCAGGGCAGAAACAGCATGGTAGAAAGGCATAACAGAGCAAAGATGCTTATTTCATGGCTACCAAAAACAGAGAAGCAGTGTGCATCCACTTAGCTATGAATGTCTTTTTGTTTCTTATACTCTTAAGTGAAGTTAATAGGACACATATGTGTAAATACCATATAGTTTCTCTGGTGTGATAAACTAAAAGTATAAATAAGGATCAGAATGTATAATTGATATTGCATAATAAGAAAAGGTCTAAAGGTGTTGGGGAAATGAGAGGGGTAGGGGAAAGGAAAGAAGGGAAAAGAAAAAAATGGAAACAAAGTCTTTGTAAATAGGTAAGGGTGGAGTGGGTGAAGGGGGACTAGGGGGACGGGGAAAAAATAAGAACCAAGATACGTCATGTAAGGGTACAAGATCCCAATGATGAATGTAACTGTACTGTATACCTAAAATGTACCAATAAAAAATATTTTTAAAAAAGAAAGAGAAGCAGAATAGCGCCAGAGAGGGATTAGGGACCAAATATACCATAGTACCCAATGTCATAGCTCAGTGACCAAACAGACAGACTCAAAAGTGTACTTTATTAATCTTGTGGGCATATCTTAAGCCAGTCAAATTGACATATGAGGATTATTAGCTATGGGTAACCTTTCCTACAAGTTGTAATCACAGAAACCAGAACAACTTGAAAGTTTCCATTTGTTGACTAGTTTGGTCAACTCTGGTTGTGTAAAATGAGTTCTTTTCCATTCTGGTCATCAAACTTGTTGGATTATCTTAAGTCAAGTCTGGAATCATTCTAAGGTCATTTTTCTCATACCTATTTAATCTCACTGTATGCATCACATTTTTCCCTATTGAATATAATGTTTTTGGACATTATTCAAGTATTACAAAGATACTAGTTATCAAGATGTTCACATTTAAGGGGGAAATACATTCTTCCATAGAGAAATATTTATCTTGTAGCTTACTGAATTTTAGGTTTGTGCTTTGTACTGAATTAAGCATTAAGGGAAATTCAAGGATTATTCAGGATTTTGAAAGAAAATCAATTAGAATTTGTTCTGATTTGTTAGAGAAATGTCTACTTTCTTTTCTAGTCTAAATTTAAATAGGATTGTTAGAAATCTGAGTTCACGTTTCTGTCGTAAGAATCAAATCATGTTTCTTCTCTGAAAGCTAATTTGCCTTTCTGAGTTGTAGGATTTCAAGTAATTTGAGGGAAAAGCTAACTGTTTTTTCTTAAATAGAAGTGTATGCCAACATAAGTCTTGGGGGTTAGATTGAAAGAAGTAAATTATAATCAGACATTTGATTTTCTGGCATTTTCACTATTCATAGTAATGTAGTTTTGTTTTTTGTTTGTGTTTGTTTGTTTTTGCGGAAGGCAGTAAAATATTGCTATAGGTTTTCAGGATTTAAAAGGAAGAATACTTGGGGTGAGGGCGTCTGGAAGACCTGTTACACAAAGCTGATACACCAAAGGTCTGCATCCATAGTCACAGATAAATGAGAAGTTAACCTGGCTGTACCGGAAGGAACTTGTGAATCCCAGGTTGGCACTGGCTAGAGAGGAAAGAAAGTCTCCTCTGAGAATCTGAACCACAAACTCCAAACATTGGAACTGGAGTTCTCCCAAAAGCATGTCCACAAAGGCCTGCCCAGTGGACTTTAGAGTCTCTCTTGTTAGTGCCACTAGGTGGCGGCGGCAGCAGATGCCCATCTTGTAGAAACTTAGACTTTTATCCATTATAAAAGCTGTATTCTGTTCAGAAACTGAGGATATGAAAAAAGCACACACTTTTAGAATTGGTAGAAGAAAATTCCATCAGGACCAATTTTTCAGTTTTATTAAACATCTAGTTATATATGCATGATGATCTCAAGACTGAAAGATGTTAGCCTTCTGAATTATTTGTAATATAGTTTTAGATAAAGTATCTTATAGTTCATATATTTAAAAACCAATGATATTGTGATTTTTAGGAAGAGTATTTGATTATCCAAAATACCCTATTCTAAAGTAAAAGTTGCCATTTAATGAGAAAAGTTAATACATATTGTCAAAGCATCTTCTAATTACATCTAAGGAACCAGTCCTTGTGCCTTTTCTTTCTTTACCAGCAAATGTTTGTTTATTAATTTCCCTTGGTCTCTTAGTATATATGAAGGACATTTAGTGTTCATTCTTCTCTGCCAACTGCCTGAATGACTGAATTTCCTGGTAAAGAATTGTTTCACAGATGTTTGAACATGTGTTGGCCCAGTGATTTATCACCACACCTGCCTCGCAAGCATAAGGTCCTGAGTTCTATCCCTGGTATCACAAAAAAAAAGACATATTAACAAAAGTTTATTTTCTAATACGGTGGCTCTATATGATTATTAGGTTGTTACTACATGACACTGAGAGCAAAGAAATGAGGGGTTGTGCATAGGAAAGAAATTATTGCCAGGCTTTCATGGGCCTCAACCATTGTGACTAATGGTTCCTCACATGTGTGTGTGTGTGTGTGTGTGTGTGTGTGTGTGTGTGTCTGCAAGTGTGTGTATGCAACAGAAGAAAACAATGGCATGGCCTTTTTACTTGATTTTTTAATTTACAGCAGGCAAATTATTTCTGGACAGCTGGTTTATTTTTTCCTTTTTCCACTGGCTTAAAAAGTAAATCTAACCAAAACAGGATCCTCTTCTCTAAAGTTATTGACTGAATTAATAATATTTTGTTTTGTTTCTTTCAAATGTGTCTCTCCTTTAAAAATATGTTATTTTCTTCTCTCTACTTTTAGAACACAGTAATTTCTCCTCTGTCTAAAGCACTTATTTAAGCCTAGGATTTAACTATGCTAAGTTCAAATGATATGCTAAAGAGTTCGCTTTTAAACCTTAGATGATTTATTTTACCAAAAAGAACATAAATGTGTTTCTGTTTGCCAGTCTTTCAGTTTGGGGTTAAAGCTTTTCTTAGAAAAGGAGTCTGTAAGATCAAATTCAGTTTTGTCTTTTTGCATAAGCTTTCTACTCTGAATCTTTTCTGATGCTTTTTTTGGCGGGGGGGGGGTCCCGTTTTTTAAAATCAGTAAAAAGTACCAGCTCTCAAATCCAATGTTGTACTGTTATTTGTATATTTTTAGTAAGGGCTTATGCTCCTAATGTAAGGATGATATTATTTTAAATCAGTATTCTTTCTTTCAAATTTCATTTTCATTAGTACATATTTGCAGTACATAATGACCACATACTTCATAGGGAATTGGCACATGTACATAACACATCTTCATTCTTTTTCATCCCTTTCCTCTCCCCTCCCACCTACCTCCATCTCTTGGTCCTCTTCCCTTTTGCAAATCTAGCTCCCTAGTTCCTATAATTTGTCTTTTATTTTGATATTTATGTATATTTTAGGATTCTCACAAAAGAGAAACTCTGCTATATTTAAGCTTGTGTGTCTATTTTATTTCATTTCACATTATGATCTCAAGGTGCAGCCATTCTACAAATGATTCAAGTTTACCCTTCTTTATGGCAGAGTAGTCCTCCATTGTGTATAAATGGAGTATTTTCATTATCCAGAATCAATATTATGTTGCAGTTAGCTCTCTGTATCTGAGGGTTCCTCATCTGTGGCTTCAGTCTACCACAAATTGAAAATAATCTTAAAAGAACAAAAATAATCATCTGTACTGAAAATTTTCAGATTTTTTTTCTCGTCATTATTCCCTAAAACCCCTAAAACAATGCAATGTAGTATGTATTTTCCTAACATTTACACTATAATAGGTATTATAAATAATATATAGATGATATAAATTGTACAGGATAATATACAGAGGTTTTCTGCCAGCTTAAGGGACTTGAGTATCCATGGATCTTCATATCTTGGTATCTACAGGTAGTCCAGACACTAACCAAACATGGAAGGACAGCTATCATAGCTAGATTTAGTATTGCCTCAGTTTTATAGCCATTCTTCGACTTGTTCTTTTACTCTGTGTGTGTATCTGTATGTTTGTGTATAACTTAGAGTTGAAACTTATTTTATGTGTTTGTTTGTTTTTTGTTTTTTGTTTTTTGTTTTTTTCTTATAGAACCAACTGGGTTGGTGACATTTACAAGACAGAGTCTTGAAGATTTTCCAGAATGGGAAAGGTAATAATCATAAAAATAATCTTAGACCCTTAAAATTAGAAGGATTCTTACCATGAGAAGAGTCTATTTTCTAGCCTCAGAACCATAATTTCCCAAACTTCTTATTGTTCTAGAGCCATGGAGTATCTTCTAAGTGATCCATTCATAGCCCTCATTATTAGAAAAGTTACATCTTTTAAATCAAAATCTGCAACCATTTGATTTTTATCGTTTTACCTTAATTTTATCTTCTGAAAGAAAATTTTGTTTAGAATTAAGAATTTTTGTGTGTGAAGACTAATATTAAGTGGTATACTGATATTTAAATATTCCTTCTTACCCTCTGTTTTGGTTAGTCTTTATATTTTTATGATTTTATTTCTGGAGGGCAAGATTAGAGAAGATTTTTTATAATCCGTAATTGTCTAGCACTTGCCTAAGTGGTAAGAATTTTGAAAAGTTTAGTTCTCCCTGTGTACCACTGATACATTTTGTGGAGGTTGCTAATTGAGTGAGGGTTTTTTTAATTTATTATTATTTATCCGAAAATACTGAGAATAACAGCCAGCTTGAGTTCATTCAGATTTATAAAATCTTTCATACTCTGAAATAGTTAACCAATTCCCTCATCTAGAGCAAATCCCCAAGACGTGTACAAAGTGTGGATCATCCTTCTAAATTCCTGTGAGGATATGCTCAAGTATACTGCATGCATACCATTAGGTGTGCATGTTAATCAATGCCTCTCATTTTCACTTGCTTATAATTTTATCATATTTCTATTATTTTGCTTGGAATTAGCAATGAAAGGAACTCACTCTTAAGGGAAGTTAACTTGAGAAGGCATACCTGCTTAGTTGTCTTGTGATTTTTTTATCCATCAAAGATACTTATTTGTAAGCTAAAAGAAAAACTTCAGAAGGCTGAGTGCATGATTGAGATGATTATTAATAAAAGTGGGCAAGATTGAACAACCTGAAAAGAGGAAAATAAAATTTAACCAGAAAATAAAGAACATGTACAGGAGTTTGGAATAATGGCACATTAGAGGTGAAAAGGATTATCAGAAGTCTTCTGGCCCAGCTGCCTGCTAAAAATACCAGACTGCTGGGTAATGCCTTCTACTGGTGGAGACTTGGGCGGCTTCAGGGGTGAGACTGTCATGACTTTACCTCAGCCTCCTCCACAGTTGCTGTTTGTGTTACTACCTAAAACTTTATCACCAAACATGTTCATCTGCTAGACAACCCCATTCCTCATCCCTGTTTCTTGTTAAGTAAATGGAATTTCCTTTTAACTTTCACCCCTCTTTGATGTGTATTAAAAAATGTCGAACTTTCATGTATCTTACAAGTGCTTTCTTGACCCACTCTTAACAATGAGCATAAGTTCATGCCATCCTGTCATTTCTGGGTTCTATGCCTGCTTTTGACATACAGCCATTCATTGGTTTCTCGTGGGGCCTAGAACTAAATGTAGAATTCTGCTGTCATCTTGCTACACCCGAGTATAGATGATTGCTTTTCTTCACTCTTCTATATTAGTCTCTAATAGCAATACAAATATTTTGTTCATTTCATTTTGGTATCATTTTTGTAGAATATTTACAGAGCTTTTCATTTGTCACTATTGCAGAAGGACACCCATTTCTACATCTCCATGTGGGATACAAGAGACAGGTCAAAATGTAGAGACTGGCAAGACTGCTGTGTGAATGAGCTGTAGTATCTTTGCCCCTAAGTGAGACCAAGATTGTCTCATTAATTTTGATAGTCAAAATTTAACTTGGTACCTTTCTTATTATTTCATTGATCTCTCTTTTAATTTAGCTACTTCATAAGTAAGTTAGAGAATATAACTCCACAGGACTCCACATAATCAGAAACATGTATGAACTACGTGACAGAGAAAAGTAGAAATAGATGAGGGCCATTGGTGTTGCTGAAAGTAAGAGGCTTCATAGGGAGGGGCCAGTAAGTTGGGTTTTCCTGAAACCCAATTTCTGCATGTTACTGTTAGTCTTTGATGATCAACAAGTATCTTAGCCAGGCTTAATTAATTTCAGAGATCCAGAATCGTCTGTGTCTTTAATTCCTAGGACAATATTGTAGAGGATTTGCTGGGATCAGAACAGTAGATCCATCCAGAAGTTGAAGGATACTTAAACAAAATTTCAGCAGTGGTAACTATAATAAAATTTCTAGCTTCACCCATGGAGGATAGTTGCCAATGTATGGACATCTGTTTGTATTTTTAAGTCCTGATGTACAGTTCAGTACAGTTCAAAGATTTCTGGATCTTAACTTCTTTAACTTAATCTCTAGGTCGTCTCCTGTATAAAACAGGAAAGCATACCAAGAAATGGAAGTTTTAAAAAAAATCAAACCTGTCAACTTTCTCTAAGAAACTATACTGTTTTTCTAGAACTATAGCATATTGGTTAAGAGCTTACCAGTGGGTTTGGATCTTTGCTACTTTATTTACCAACTAAAGGAAATTAATTTTCTTTTCCCTCTCTAAAAGGAAATAGTAATGGGGTTATTCTGAGAATTATAAAAGTAAATACAAATAAAGCCGTTAGAATAGAATTGTGCCCAATTTCCTTTTTATTTTAAAGTTATCAGTTATTAGGCAGAAGTTGTGCCAGAAATGTATTTAGGTTCAGTAAAATCAGGAAGGAAGCAAAAATCAATAAGTAAACAGTACTTCCCTAGCTAATTAAATTATTTTTTTTTAATCTGATTACCCCCTTCACAAAAAAGTTATTACTAAAGTTAGGAGTTTCGATCTCTGTTGCATTCAGATATAACTCATTTTTTATTCAGTAAGCCACTAGGGGGAAACATTTAGTAAGGAAATAACATCCTCCAATGGTGTTACTACAATGAAATTGGTTTTTAGTATACAAGACAGGTCAATACCTCAGTGAAAGGAAAAAAAAATAAGTGTGCCCTCTGAAAGTTGTATGTGTCAACCTTCTTAATATAAAAAGTGCCACCAGTCAGCATTTCTGTAGCATGTATTTTCATTAAGACAGTCTTTCCCAAATACAGTTATCAAACCAGTGAAAATAGAGCCCATTTGAGAACCATGTGTGATGTATTGCAGATTTTCTATATTTTTCCTTAGAATGTCAACTGGGTTGAAAAAAATTTCATAGATCTTAATTTTTTATATCTTAAAGTTTTAAGCATCTTACAGAGAAACTTTGATAAGGGGAAAAACAAGTTTTAAAGCAATGTGTTGTCTCATTTAATTTAAATTTGTATATTTACAGATTTCAACAAGGAAATGTTAGAGACAATATAAATTTTCTTAATAGCTGTATGTAGTTTCAGAGTTATCTGTAGTGAAGTACTTATTTTAAAAATTGAGTAAAGGAATATCTCCACCTGTTGTAGGTGTGAAAAAACCTTGACACGGCTACATGTCACTTACGAAGGCACCATAGAAAGCAGTGGCCAAGGCATGCTGCAGGTAGGTGAATTTCAGTGTGTGTGTGTGTGTATGTGTGTGTGTGTATGTGTGTGTGTTTAAGTCTTTCTCTTGTCAAGCTTCTGACAACAAAGGAAATTGAAAAACTGTTTATTTGTCTCCTAACCTGATTTAATGCAAAGAAGAATGATAGCAGAATGGGAAAAAAAACACCAAACAGATCACTTTGACAGCCTTAGTGATGATGTTATTTGCCAATGTATGCTCTCTGTTTCTTACATGAGCCTCTTTAAAAAGCCTTTGACAGAAAGTCCCAGGATCTGGACATGAGTACTTTGGCTCAGACATTGATTGTAGATTGACAGTGGAGGAACTTCCCAGAGTATGGTCTTGACAAGCTGTCACCAGGCAGTTTTGTTCTTTTCTTCAAAGGCTCCTCCTCTGCCCCTAATGATGACCATTTTGAGATGTTTTTCTGTCACCAACAGCCTTGTTTAGGTCTAGGAGGCAGTCATCTAAAATTGATTGATAAGAAAGGCCTCTCTCCCATCTATAACAGCTTTAAGCTCATGGGCCGGCTTGCTAATATCTTTTTCTTACCAAAGATTCTCCTGTCTTTGGTATTAATTCATTGCTCGCATTACTTTAAAAGGAATTTAGAAAAAGAAGTTAACAAAATACAATATGTATTTAGCTCTAAAATGTAACATCTAACTTGAACATGTCAGATTTTCTTTGTGCTTTATACTGATTTTTTAAATATACTACACAGAGATAAAATTTTAGTGTTTTGTATTTTTATCCCATGTAAAAAAGCATGCAAACAGTTTTCTTTGAAAGAAGGTTGGATATCATCTCATTAATACTGGGAATAGCTGATTTTTCTTCTTGGATCCTTATTTGATACTTACATTGGATCAGAAGATAAAGCAATAGACTGATTTGGGTAGACTGATTTATGTGTACATATCCTAAGTGACTAATGAAAGATTCTTCCTAGAATCACCTTTTATTTAGACATAATTGTAATTAAAATCTTTATGGAAGCAAACTATGTTTTAAATTACCTTCTCCCAGTGTTTCAGTTTGTAAACAAAATTACTTATGACAGCTAAATTAATAATTTTCCTATATTTAATTTGTGCAAAAATGAAAAACCACCAAAAATATATTTTTTATTTAATCATATACTTTTTCCTCTAATTAAAAAAGTAATTGTAAAATGTGCATGAAATTGCTTCAAGGAATATCCCTTTCCCCCACATCCCTTTCTTTATGAAGTTCTTTCCTACTTTAACATCTGGATAAAACAAGGAAGTCTTGATGCACATGAGGAAAGCAAAGCTACTTCTAGTTAGCACCGCAGGAATGCTGACCTTTCATGGCAGTGTAGTTCCACATGGAATTGTGTAACAGCCATCAAGGTTGAGATTCTCCCCACGTCCCAGGGTATATTATAGATGAAATGTGAGACCATGGTAGAGTGAAAGAATACCATAAAGGCTTCTAGCACTATTAATTGCTCTGCCTCCCCCAGGCCCTGTCTCCCCAGGAGATCAGGGAATATTGTGTTGCAATGCTCCAGAGTTCCTTGTATAACACATAAATTACATTATGCTGAATGGCAGCAGCAGCAGAACCTCTCTAAGGAGTGTTATCATTTCTCTCTTTTCATCAAGTTATAATTCAGAAGCTGAGTAATCTGAACAAGTAGCTTTACAGTAAAGAGTTGGAAATGCCTGGCTAAATATAAAAAAGCACTCAGGTGCTTGTTTTTATGTCCTGGAACAGCTTTCTCACGTTTTGTAGAGAGCCTTTTATTAAGAACTTTTTTTATGTAGTAGAAACTTTAGTTTTCTTAAGGACCTCTGCTCTTAGAGGCATATTGAGGTTAGTGTAATTATTTCTGTGCACACCTTTCAAGTAATGAATGTTATTGTCCTTTTATCAAAGAGTGAGCAATAGCAGGCACACTGCATGTATTTCATAATTATCATCAAATAGTACAGAAATTGGGTAGAGCTTACCCTTTTAGTTCAGTTTTGTTTAATACCTTATTCCAGTAAAATAAGCAGATCTTGATTTCTCATTTCTGTTCACAGTGGCATTACACTCATAGCACGCAGTCAGTCTGTCAGGGCTCTAGGACTCCATTCCATTTCTTCGCTGGGTCTGCTCTCTTTACTTTGCCACTGTCTTATTTGAGGCCTTTGTAGTAATTGCTTAAACTATTCAGAAGTCACCAAACTAACCTCTTTTCTGTTAATGTTATACTTTTCTAGATTATTCTTTGTAGCCTGAATTATCTTACTTAAGCATGGGTCCAGTTGTTACATGAATTTTTTTCCCAGAGCCTTCAAAATTGACTACAGATTCCCTGGTCTCCAGACCGCCTCATCATCACCTCTAACCTCTCATAACGTACCCTAAATTGCAGGCAGCTGCTCACCATTCCCCTATACAGCTGTTGACACTTGGTGTCCCCTGTGTCCTTGTGTAGCTCTTCCCTCAGCCTGAACATCAGCTAACTCTGAATTAAATGCTGTCTCCCTTCCTCCTCCTATGCTTAGATTCTGGGTGAATTATTATGTGGGAAGTATCACATATATACTAATGGGTTCTCTAATAAGTCATCTTGCCATTCCACTTACATGTCTGACTTCCAGGCAAATTGTGTGTCCTGTGAGGCCTGAAACCAGCACTTCTTATTCATCTTTGTGTGTTATGGTTCCCAGCACAATACAAAGTAAATATTTGTCAAATGGAATAGATTAAGCTGCGAGTCACCCAGTGCCTAAAGACCTCATATGTAGTAGGTTACAGATTAATATCTATAGTTTTGCCAAAATTATTTTTCTGTATAAGCTTAATGGCTCTGGTTTTATTTAGCCTTGATTTTAATACTCAGAAATAAAAACCCAAGTACATGATTTGTGTGTGTAGTACCAGGGATTGAACTCAGGCCCTTGCATTTGCAAGGCAGGCGACAGAACCACTGGCCCTACATGATTCTTGTTTTTTTTTTTTTTTTTTTAAGACAGAGTCTCACTATATAGTTGAGATTGACCTGGAACTCACTATGTAGTCCAGGCTGGTCTCAAACACACAGTGATCCTCCTACTTCGGCCTCCCGAGTACTGGGATTATAGGCATGCACCATCATGCCTGGCCCTACATGATTCTTAATAACAATACATTTTTAAGAATCTGTCGATGGTGTGCTTCATTATTTTCTAGCTTTTTTATGGTGAGAAAAAAGACAATTTTGCTGTCTATTCATGTCTGCCTGTCTTTTCACATTAAAATAGCAAAAGATTCAGATTCTTATTCTACTTTTGTGAAATTGGCTTCAGATAATCATTTAGTATCTATTTAGAGAATATAAAAAAGTTTTAAGAGATCTTATATTTTACAAGATTTGAAACAGATCTTCTCTTAACAGTACTTAATTCTGTTTTTCTTTTGTGTGTGACTACATGTACACAAACTGTGAATCTGTGTACTCTCAATCTTTACAGTAGTCAAAGACAAAGATGGGCACCATTTCTTACTGAAGTAATACTGGCAGGCAGAGTGCGTATTCTTGTGGAAATTGTATGACCACTCTTTGTCAGTAGGAACCAGGGACTCATTGTAGTGTGCTACATAAAGTTATGTGGGACTCAGGCTATAATTCAGTGGTAGAGCACTTGCCTACCATGTGTGGGACAATGTAGTTGAATCTTTGTTCTTTACACTAGGTTTTATTTTTCTTCTGTTTTTTACTAGGTATATTATTTTGAAATGTTTGGTAATATTCATGCAGCTTAGAGTTGAATCTAGGAAAAAAATTCCATTCCTTTATTCTCCCACAGAAGAATATATGTTACCCTATGCAGTCAGCTACTAAACTTCTCAGTTCTTCAAACAAGTGTTTGATTACCATCTTATATAAGAAAGATAGGATTATTTTAAAGCCATTTTAAATCTGTAAAGGGAGGCTGAGGAATGACTGGGGAAATGACCTTGAAACCACTCCAGGTAAAGAACTTCCTTCATTTATGGTTTGGAGGGACAAATAAGGGTTATAGACTATAGTGCATAACATTTTGCCTAGCCGCTCCATTTTCCATGTTCCTCAGACAGTTTTGGGATGCACAGAAGTGTGCAGAGATGCTAACTGACAAGAGATAGAAAGAGAACAAGCAGCTGTTGTCTTCCTCCCTGGGAGATTGCTAAGTGGGGGCTGACTTCCATGTGAAAAGCTGAGAACATACAAGATGTGTGCTTCCTTATCACACATATATGTATTGTAAGCCATCATTTAACATGCCACATTTCTCCAAATAGGTGGATTTTGCAAACCGTTTTGTTGGAGGTGGTGTAACCAGTGCAGGACTTGTACAAGAAGAAATCCGCTTTCTAATCAATCCTGAGTTGATTGTTGCACGACTATTCACTGAGGTGCTGGATCACAATGAATGTCTTATTATCACAGGTTAGTTTGGGAGTTCAGACAGTGGGGTAGTTTTCCTCATCTGCAGTTATCTATCATGAGGCGTAGAGGCTGCTCACGTCAGCTTTTTTCTTCCATGGGCACAAGCCCCGGAATTTTTATTCATTCTACTTGCTTTTTGAGATTGTTATAGTCTTATTTTCCTAATGTATCCTAAATACAGATTTAATCCCCTATTTTTTGTTCCCTTACCGTCTTTGTCTGAAGATCAAGGGTAGAAACTGTTCAGTTACTCTTCAGTTTGAAGTTTTGTGATATAATAATATTCTTAGAAGAAGATAGTTATAGGGCTGAGAATTCAGCTCAGTGGCACCGCGCCTGCCCTGTAAGCGCAAGCTCCTGAGTTTGATCCCCGGTACTGGGGTGGGGGGATAGCGATATAGTTTTGAGTGTGTATCCTGTTGTTATTTTCCCATTGTATTTTTAAGTGATTTGTTTCTGTTAAAAATTTTTAAATGTTAAAAAGTGATTATATACACACATATATAAGATATTCATATGCATATGTATATATGTGAATGACATAGTAACAGTACTTTGGAGAGAATCAGTGTAACAGTGAGCTTTATAGAAGAGAAGTAAATCAGTAACCTTATGTTTATCCTAATTTCTAATCCTAAAAGCAAAAAGTATGATTATCTTATTGTCAGTCCTTGGTTTCTTTAAATTAATGTGGGAGGAGGAAGGGGTGAAATTTACTCAAATTTATACATTGAGTTGCTTATAGAGATTTAATTTTTTTATTGTTGTTGAGTCTCTTCAAACTGAGGTAGCACTGTGTCACAGTATTTTCTTGTCAATGAATTGCAAAAGGTTAATGCTGACAACTGACCTCAGGCCACCATATCTAACTTAAACCTTTTATTTAAGTACCTGACAGAACATTCTTGCATAAAGGCTGTAATGCCTCATCAGTTGTCAGTACTTTTTTTAATTCCTCAAGAAGTGAATTTCTTCTTTCATCTTGAGCTCTATTGTTGCTTTGAGATTAGCATAGAAAAGTAAACACTCACTTGAGTTGGAAGAATTTGGTTTATTGCTTTTCCAAAGATTACAGTGGGAGTAAGACCATCCCCTATGAGTTATGGAGATCAAATGTATACAAACCTTAAGTTGCCCCTGGAGAGGTACAAGTCAAAGCTAAGGCTGCAGTCTTGTCTTGAAGCCACACTCTGCCTCAGGTGCATTTTTCAGCAATCTTCAGGAGTCTTTTAATGTTGTCCTTATGTTTTGTCTCTAGAATTTTTGTCGGGTCTTCATCTATTAAGTCCAGTGTCTGTGACTGTTCACTGCTTTTTTTCTGGATGTGGTCCATACTCTTCTTTCCATATCTCACATATTTTGTTGAGTACTTAACATTTTAAATGATGTAACAACTCTGGAAATCATGTTTTCTCCCCATCAGAGTTCATTGATGCTGTTTGTTGTTTAATGGCTTTCCTAAACAGATTCTGTAAAGTCTGTGTTCTTTCTTGTGTATAGTCACTAAAATCTCTGCTCAACTAGGTTAGTTCTCAGCTAATGATTGTGTGGATTTCCTTAAATGCCATGAACCAGTTAGTCTCTCCTTAAGTGCTCTACCTGCATGTTGGGGCTCACTTTAAACACTTCCTCTTGTGTTTGGTGGCTGTCTTGCCTTCGGTTCCTGCTTGCACAGAGACTCAGTCAGGCAGTGGGAGAGGGGAGGGCCTTCTGAGGTCTTTCCTAATCACTCACACAGCCATATGCATGCATGTGGCCTTCGAAATTTCCAGGAGTACATTAAAACCTTTCTGAGCCCCTTGTGAACATCTCATTCCTCAGCTTTTCCTTGGAAATTTACTGGTTTGCCTGTTATTGGCCAAGCTGATAACTACCATCTCTGAGAGCCTGAGAACTGCTAAGCAGTTGCCTGTGCTTATTTTCATCTAGCCCTTGGGGATCTAACTTTTCACACTGGAAGTCCAAAGCCAGGCAAATAAAATGAGGTCTTCCAGGGGACCTAATGATGACAGCGTTCTCCGAATGGGGCATAAAGGAGCCTCTTTCTCCTGGATCCTATGGTGGCTGCTAGACTGTTGGTTTTTACTGTGGCTATGGACAGTTAGTTTTAAGGCTACCCACAGAGGTTGAGAGAGTGGGATGGAAATAGAGCAAGTAAAAATACCACAAGGCAGGCTGAGGATTTAGCTCACCATGCTTGCCTTGAAATCTCAAGGTTCTGAGTTTGGTCTCCAGTACCACAAAAAAAAATTAATAAATGATAAAAATACCACAAAGCTTGCAGTTTTTGCCAAGATTCAGCCAGTTTTCCTTGAGAAGGCAATCCTTGGATTGCTTCAAGCCTTTCTTTACTTTCCACAGTTAATTCTCACTGTGATTTTCTTAGTGTTCTCCTTGCTTCATGGCACAATTTACAAGGTTTTTCACTCCACCATTTTGCCTGTATCTCTACCTTTTGTAAGCGCTCCCTGGTAAAGTGGCTTTCAGCAATTTATAACACATCATTTAGACATCCTGTGTTGATTCTTATCCTTGTGTCTCTACTGCTAAATGAGTGAACTAAAGCCAAAAATAAGTTATTGAGTTTATATCAGAAACTAAGAATGGAACCTCAGCAAAGAATTTCTTCTTGGATAGAGTCCTAGTTAATTATTCAAAGTGAATAACTTGAAGTATTTCATCTAGAACTCAGGCATTGTGATCCACATTGTACTGAAGTAGAAACACAGGCCTCTTTAGTTCTCAGTATTGCCTCAGCCCACATATCGCCCTTCTGTCTACATTGTTGATTATCCTGTGGGCACATGGGGAGCATGTAGTTGAGGTGCTGACGGAGGTGTGAGTACAAGAAATCACAAAATAAAAAATGAAAAATGGCCTAAGTCCATTGTTAGGCAACTAAATCTTTTGAACATTTATCTAACACCCTTTAGAAAGCTTTGAAGGTCAAGAATCTGACTGTCCCCATCATTTTGGTATCTTTTTAATACTGAACCTAGATTTGAACTAAAGACTTAAAACAAAATATCTCATCAGTTTTTAAAATGAATTTACATCCTTGAAATTAAAAACTTAGTAGCATGTTGGGCACTTAAACTCAAAGCTAATTTGTTTCATTTGCTTCATTTTTCTTAGTCGTCTGCCATTAACATTACTATAAACAAATAAAATATGTCATTTTTCTCTGGGAATATTAAAAGGAAAGCATTGACTGTTTTTTCCTTTTTTAAAAGATAGTTTGTCCCCTCCCTGAAAAGGGATCACTTTGGAGTTAATCTTTGAATTCTAACTTACCTGCAGCCATTGTAGAATGACTAGAAAAATGCAGCTCCATGACTCACTTTCACATTTGTAATTACCTAAAGCTAAGGACATTTGGGGTGACTTTTAACTCGGCATTTTTCCCACATCCACTTAACTCTATTATAGTGCCTCCTAATTAATATCTGTGATGTGTTGTTCCCTTAATGGAAATGGCCATTTCATCATCTACTTGATGTCTGGATTTCTGCCATCTTCCTTCTTAAGGAGACTCTTAACCATGTGCTGCAATCTATCTGCCTGATCAATTCCATTCTTTCAGTGATGTACCCAGGCTTAGTGAGCTAATGGCTGTGACTGTGCTGCCTGAATCTGTAGAAGAGTTTCAGAAATTGGAAATAAATTAAATTTATCATCATTGTGGGACATCTGGTTGCAGTCAGACTTTTAAATGAATATGAAACATGTCAGGCAAGTAGCAAATACTTTTTTATACAGTGTTATCCCACTCTTTGCTGTAATCCTCCCTGCAGTAGTTTTTGAACAAGTATGGGTGGAGGAAAAGAATTCAAACTCCAGCCCTCCCCTTTCGTTTTTCTTTCTGTCGGGAGTTCCTCCTTCTGTTGGAAGTTCCTCCATAACACCCCATAAATAGCTTCAATACCTGAGGTTGTTCAGGGGCTCTCATGGTCCTGTTTGGTGAGCACAATGGAGTAGAGGCATGTTCAGTCATACCTTGGTTGGTACTCCACTGTTTTCACACCACACTGGTCAAATTTGGTACTAAGCATTTGACACAAAAATTTTGTCCCAGTATTTGTCATTTATTTAGTATTAGACATTTAGTATTAGCATTAGACACAAAGCTAGAACTTATAGATATCGATTGCCTTGGGATTTACTACCCTTTCCAGCCAAAACAATTTGGTGCTCATTTTTACTACTCCTCTTGCCTCCTGGAACCAGTTAATGAACACCACTGAGGTACTGCTATGCATTTAACGTAAAACTTTTCCTATAGCAAATCAGATCATCCCAGAAGTCCTTATCTTCTGAGTGCAAGCAGAACTGACAGGGAAAGTGAGTCTTGTCTACTGCTGGGCAGAAAGCAAGGGGAAAAAATAAAAGTCAGAGAGTTCTTGGCTGTCTTGGTTCCCATCCAGTCAGTAGACTGACTAGGTCACTTTTAACTTCATGTAAATGAGCCACGTAGCTTTGTTTTCTCTGCTCTCTTTCAAATTAAGTCTAATCACACCAATTCTGATTTCTGTATGGTCTTGAAGGATTTCAAATTTGTCTTACTTAGCTATCAAGTAGTTCTGTGAGGTAAAAAGATAATTAATGACTTTGATGATGAAATGAACTGCAGTGAGGCCTGATAAAGATTCACTCAAGGGGATTTAGCTCAATGGCACCACATCTGCCTCGCAAGCACAAGGTCCTGACTTTGATCCCTGGTACCAAAAAAAAAATTCACTGGGTCTATTGTGTCTCCTGATCTCACTGTGGTTCTCTTTACCACACTATACAGTCTTTAAAAAGGTGTAAACTTCTTTGTGTTCATTGACTACATGGTGCATGAGATTTAATGTTTCTGGACTCAGTGTCAGCTGATACAGTGTCCTTTCTCTTTTGCTCAATATTATATGTATTATTAGGCTGATAGTTATTCACATGCTTTAATGTTTCTGCATCATAAGATCTGATGTAGTCACAAATGCTAATAATTTATAATCCTTCCCTTTGAGAAACTGACAGTCCAATGGGGGAATGTGATTACATGTTTCAAACAGCTGTATTAAGTTAGAGTTGACATACAGTAAGCAGTGTTTATTTAAAGTGTACAACTGGGTAGGTTTTTCATCTGTGACTGTATTCCTGAAACCATCTTTGCCCACATTTTTTGTGGCTGTTTGATTTTTCTTTTATTTTTACATTTTGAAAGCACTTATAAATTTATTATCAGATATATGTACCATGGTGTCACTTTTTTTTTTTCCTTTTTTTTCTTTTGGACAGAGTCTCACTATGTAGTTGAGACTGCCCTAGAACTCACTATGCAGCCCAGGCTGGTCTCAAACTCACAGCGATCTTCCTGCATCAGCCTCCCTAGTGCTGGGATTACAGGTGTGTGCCACCACGCCCAGTATGGTGTCATTTTCTTAATGGTGACTTTTTTTTTTTTTTTTTTT